CTCAAATAAATAAATAAAATCTTTAAAAAAAATAAAAATAAATAAAAAAATAAAAAAAAAAAGAATGCCTCCTTCTTGTCAGAAATTATATAAGCCACAAGACAATGAAGTGACAATTTTAAGGTACTGGAAGAAAAAAGTCAACCTATAGTTCTATATTTAGCAAATATAAGACATTTTCAGACAAACAAAAGCTGAATTTAATCACCAACTGACATACATTACAGAAGAAGCTAAAAACATTCTTCAGACAGAAAAAAAATGCTATTGGGTGGAAATTTAGATTTATACATAGAAATACAGAGCACCACAACCTGGAAATATGATATAAATATAAAATATACTTTTCTCATTTTTAGAACTTTTAAAAAATGGTAAATTATCTTTTAAAATAACAACCACCATACACTGTAAGGTTTGTAACATATATATTATATATACGTATGTGTATGTAAAATATATGACAACAGCACAAAAGATGGAAGGTAAAAAATGGACAATTACAAAAATCTCATAAATGTAGTAAAAAAATATTTGAAGGCAGACTGTGTTAAGTTAAAGATGTATGCTGTAAATGCTAAAGTAACCACATAACCACATAAGACAGGCACAGCTATAAACCACTTACATAGATGTAATGAAATCATTAAACATACAGTTAATCCAAAGAAAGCAGCAAAAGTAGAAAAATGGGGAAAAACAGACTGCAAAAATAGTACACGGCCATATACAGTTCATTTAATGTTAAATGTAAATTGCAATTAAAAGGCAGAGATTGACAGATTGGATATAAAAGCCAGATCCAAATACATGATGTCTACAAGAAATCCACATTAAAGACACAGGTAAGTTATAAGTAAAAAGAACAAAAAAATGCCAAGCAAACATAATTAATAGAAAGTCTGAGTGACTTTGTTAATATCAAAGTAAAATTCAAAAGAAAGGAATATTATCTGGGATAAAGAGAAATACTGCACAATGATGAAGGGAATAATTCATCAAGAGGATAAAACAATCCTAAATATTTTTTCATCTTATGAAACTACTTCAAAGTATATAAAGCATATCCTGTTAAAACTAGAAGAATAACCAAATCCACAATTACAGCTGAGCAGTAACAGCATTTGTCTTAATAACTGATAAAACAAGTAGATGAAAAGTAACTAAGGACAAAGAAAAATTGAACAATATTATTAACATGACCTAATTCCCATCTATAGAAGACTGGTCCATGGTTAAAAAATGACTCAACTATATCCTGGTCCACAGTAAGTTCATTTCATAAATATTGTTTAAATGGTTTTCCCTTATATAAAGGTAAAGTTTTTCTTTTGTTGCCTTTAAGATCTTTTGCTTTAGTTTTCTTAAGTTTGAAAGTCATGGGGGGCACCTGGGTGGCTCAGTTAAGCATCTGACTCTTGATTTTAGCTCAGGTCATGAAGTCAGAGATGTGGGATCAAGTTCCGTGTCAGGATCCACACTCAGAGTGGAGTCTGCTGTTCCTCTCCCTCTGCTTCTCCCCCTGTGCTCCCACTCTGTCTCTTTCTCTCTCTCTCAAATAAATAAATAAAATCTTAAAAAAAGAAAAAAAATTTATGGAGTTCATGGCATGGATTCCTTTGGTTTTAGTCTGCGTGGAGTTTGCCCAGCTTCTTCAATGTAGGCTTATGCCTTTTGCCAAATTTGGGAAATTTTCAGCCATTATTTCTTTGAATACTTTTCCACCTTTCCTTATGGGACTCCAAAGACAAAAATGTTAAGAAATTTTGTTACAGATCCATAGTCCCTGAGATTCTGTTCAATTTTGTTATCTATTTTATTTTCTGTAATAATGGGCCATTATTGTTCTATATAAAGTTATATGATTTTTTTCTCTGTCCTCTCCATTCTGCTGCCGTGCATATGCACTGAATTTTTAAAAAATAAATTTTTTATTTTAGAATGTCTTTAAATTCACAGGAAAACTGCAAGGATAGGAAGGCAAATTTCTAAATATGCTGTACCCAATTTACCCTACTGTTAACATTACTAGAAGTTTTGTCACAACAACTAATATAATGTTACAATTATTAAATAAAATCCATACTTTGATATTCAAATTTTCCCCTTAATCTCATTTCTCTGTTCCACAATTCCATCCAGGATACCACATTACATTTAGTTATCATGTCTCCTTAGACTCCTCCATATTATGAGTGACTTGCCTTGGTTTTGATAACCTTGACATTTAGAAGATACTGCAGAAAAGTCCTTCAGTGTGGGCTACTTATCTAATGTGTTTTTGGGATAAAAATGGAGTTTGTGTTTTGGGGATAAAGACTATAAAGGCAAAGAGACTGCTATCCTTATCCCATCTTATGCTATCAGCATGACATCATTTTCTTTTAACTTTAAATTCTAGTTAGTTAACATACAGTGCAATACTGCTTTCAGGAGTAGAATTCAGTGGTTCGTCACTTACATACAACATCCAGTGTTCATCATAACAAGTGCCCAGCTTAATACCCACCACCCATTTAGCCCATCCCCCACACATCTCCATCAACCCTCAGTTTGATCTCTATCGTTAAGAGTCTCTTATAGTTTGCTTCCCTCTTTTTACCCCTCCCATATGTTCATCTGTTTTGTTTTTCAAATTCCACATATGAGTAAACTCATATGTTATTTTGTCTTTCTCTGACTGACTTATTTCACTTAGCATAATGTACTCTAGCTCCATCCACGGCATTGCAAATAGCAAGATTTTTTTGTGTGTGGCTGAGTAATATTCCATTGTACATATATACCACATCTTCTTTATCCAC